GATAAAGAGTTCTCCTTCTCCACCTCAATAATGGTATCTTCAATTGAGGCTTACCATGAATATAAACTACCATATGTGACAACACCATCTCATGGCTATCTTCTTCAGTTAAATTCACCTTCACAGCTCAGTGACTTCAGAAAATATTGGACATCACTTCAGTCTTTTGTGGAAAGAAAACAGCACCTAAAATATCTCTCCTCAGCTTTTCTTTCATAAATCTTCTCTTTCAAACAACTGCAGTTTCTCATGATTGTTTTAGACTGATGGTGACAGCGATTGTCTAGCATTATTTTTATTCTGAAATTGTTTGGGGTCATTTATTGTGGCATATTTATGTCTCTGTGTATTTGTGTAATATAATTTGAGTATGCTTTGAAGTGATGAAGAAATGTACCAGCATAATGGTTTACCTGGCATTATTTATTATTTACAATTAATTTGCCAACATTTGTATATATCTAGGAACATAGGAAAATGGGAATAGAAGGCAGTCATTCAGCCTTGTATTTAAAAATCTGCCAAATTCTGGATGCTGAGAAAATAAAGTAAATTGGAATTTCTTGCCCTGTATTGCAAATACTGATTAAACTATTCAAATGCAACTTTATGTCATGCACAAAACAAAATCAGTTTTGTATTGTTTCCCCAGCTATATATGCTCTAGATTATTAGAAACAGCTCAATCGTAAATAATTGAAATTAAATGATTACTGCAAAAGTGGTATGAACCGTCAATTCATAGTAATTACTGTATGTTTTTTTTAACCTTCCTGCTCTTTCTATTTTTAGATACCTTAGTCAAATATTCAAAATGTCGTTTCCATACAAGTTATGGCATTTAAGATCTGCAATCTGATTCCTTGACAGCAGCTAGTTTGGGAACAAAGTGTGAAGTTATGTAGATTAATTGTGCATTTATCATTCTTCAATGCTTCAGAGCTTCCTATATTGATTATTAATTAATGGTAACTTAATAAAATATGTACTGAGCTTTGTCCAACATTAAGAACTTTCTATGTAATTGAAAACCGTGGCACAATGCATTGAATTCAATCTAAAACAAACACATGTAAAATCAATTAAACCGGCCTCCCTCTCTCTCTTTCTCTCTCTCTATTTCTCTCTCCCTCTATTTCTATCAATTCTTTTAAACTGTACGTTTACAAGCAATTGGGAATTTGTTTTCATCAAGGTGAGCAATCCTGGTGCTCATTAATGGATTCTTTTGCACCCTTTGACTGGGGCATTCGCCTCAAATGTTCCCATGACAGACATGGCACAGGTCAGATGTAGTTCAGAGCTCAGAGTGCAATGCAACCAACACCGGAGTGTGACCACTACCTGAGAAAAAAACGATAGTAATGACACACAAGAGTGACTATTTCCCCTTGTTGCCTCATCGAGTGAGATTGCACCGTGACTGTTAATTAGTGCTGAATTGTAAGGCTGTTTGTGCTGTAAGACTTAGGTGTATTGGGAACAAGGTTAGATTGAGGCTACTCACAGATATTTTGTTTAGTTACCTTGACAACCATTGGCAAGAGGCAATTTTAGATCCAAGTGTTTAGGCTGGATTCAAACCTGGGTCCCTGAGATAGAAGTTTAATGCAGGTAAGTACCATTAAATGGGGCACCATCTCCATGAAAAAAACACTAAGCAATTTTTTTGAAGGTTGTTTGTGGTGGGAAAAGAAACAGAAAAGATGTGCAGCATTTTGCTGTGATGACGTGAAACATTAGTGACAGAATAACACAGTTAATGCAATTTACATCATGCAGCTACCAGGTCACCAAATTAATCTGTCATTGATGACGCTTGTTGAACTGTTCCTTTTTTGAAATACCACAATGTTATTTTTTAATCTGAAGAAACGTGGACAAAAAATAATTCAGAGCCAAAGATGTATTTTGTGAATGTTATACTCATGGAGTTGAGGAGGGTGGGGTGGGGGAGTAGTGCTGGAAAATTGAACACTTTTCTAATTTGGACACCCATTAGTGTCAGCATCACACACTCACATGTCAATGCAGGATAAAGTTAATTCCCTCACTTCTAGACCAAAAATGTGCCTCATCTCCAACCTCAGAAGAGCATTCACTGTTCAGTCAATAATTTAGTCCTGTTTTGTGCTGTGGGCCACTAGCAACTGGGTTAAGAATTGCTCAAAGTCATATCAATTAAGAACCTTACAAGCAGAGGAGATTTTCATTGCCTTCATCCAGACTGGATTCAAGTTCAGAGGCTAGCGGTGAAATATCAACCCGCTAACCCACTGTGCCACCAGTTGCCCTACTTTATTTATGGAATGACGAAATAGCCAAGTAGGAATCTGATAAAAGCTGATATCAGATGAGTCTTTCAATGTTATGATAGAACCACTGGAGAGTTCATTGAACACCAACCTAATAGGAATAACATGCAGCAAGTAAAGCATCATGTGAAAAAACAGCATGAATCTAATTAGTTCTTCACTGTCATCCACTTAAATACTTTACACCTTTAGCTCAAGAGGTCTGCTAAATATTTTATTAAAATGTGCCCATAAGCAGTTAGCACATGGTTTAAAAAATGCATCTGGTACACCGCTACATATTCGTGCACAGACAAGGATTAAGAGCCATCTTGTAATGCAAGTTTTAAGGCAGAGTTTCCCAGGTACCACATGATATCTCTGCAATGAATAAATGTTGTGACACTTATAGAAGTCTGTGCTAAGTGGCCAAGTATGGAAAGACAATTGATCGGGATCTGATTTTGTTCTGGTAGCAAGAATTACGTTACAAATTTATAAGTTCTTAAAAGTAAAAAATAGGAGTTACTCAGGTGTGCTAACATTTGATTCCCCCCCACTCCCCTATCCCCGGTACTATTCTCAATGCCAATTGCGCATTCAACATGACTTTGGCTTTACTGTTAAGCTTTTTGTTTAACAGAAGAGCTAAGATCCCATTAACCAGCAGCCAGAAGCTGCAATCCACAAGTCAGAGGGCAAAACTCAAACGCAAACTGAGAATGCTGGTGTGTGTGTGGTGATGGGGTGGGAGGGAGTGGGGAGGAGACAGCCTCCAGCAGATCAAGGTAATTGCTATTTGATACTTTAGGAATTTCTAAATTTCTAAATATAAATTGCATGTTAGAAGTGAGAACTCTATCAACGGGAGATGGCTGAACTATTGAATAATAGTACTATTTTACACTTGTTGGCGTGACCAGATACAACCACAAATTGCATTTATATAGCGCCTTTCAAGTCAGGAGGACGTCCCAAGGCGTTGAAATAGGAGTCATACTTGGATCTGGATACGCACAGGATTTTCAACTCCTGCCTGTAGCTGGAGGTTTTTCATACTATCCCACTGGAGCTCCACTCCAAAATAATCTAATCCGGGGCAGAATTCTTGCAGGTCACTATGACACACTTTCAGGGATTGGTCGGATTCAATATTTGCTAATTGTAAGAGAATTTAGGTGTAAATAGCTATTTTTTTAACCCCTTGCTATCCTGCTTCTGAACATTATTATGCTAAGCATCAGTCTTAGTGTTAAATATTGTATTGAGTGAAGGGCACTATGTAAATGCAAGTTGTTGTTGTATTAGTCTTACTTTCTACCGAAACAGTCTCTGTACAGCTAAACATCTGTGTTGTTCTATAGGATATCAGCTTTCACAATTACTTTGCACGATATCCTGGACAGAGGTATCTAACTCATAAGATTCCCAAAAGGATCTGTAAACAAGAATGTTTTCCAAAGCGACCCTCTGGAACTCTGCTCAAGTGCTGACGTCACAGAAGTGAAAAGGAGATTGGTGTCCAAATGGAGTCCTAACCGTAACACATGCAGGATTCGCTATTTACACAACTTTTGCAAATTTCACAAGTTACACATCTCTACAGCACAATTGTGGCTCTATTCCCATTCTGTTTTAATTTTATCACTAGCTATGGCAGTTAAAATAAGAGTAGTCTAAGAATCGTAACCTTTTATTGGTATTCCTTTGCCACAATTATAATAAATAATTTTAATGCATTAAACATGTTTATGTTTGTTTTGCATTAACCAAATGTTTGCCTTATATTAATATTGGTAATGAGTTTACTGCAACATTTTATTTAGCTTTCATGAGGTAACAGTCTGGTCCGTTTTCAAATCTAATTTCTATTTAAAACTTAAAAATGTATACAGTCTTTATTAAAGTGTATTGGAAAAATACTGCATTAAATAAGAGCTTTAATAATTTATTTGATATAGCGTCTTATCAAGTCTTCGAGATGTCTCAAAGCGCTTCACAAAATATACTGCAAGTGAATTGACTGTATATTTTGTGCGAGAAACGGGGCAGCCAATCGTGCACAGCAATGTCCCACAAACAATCGTGGATTGAAGTGACCAATTTTTTTAATTTTTGAAGGAATTATTACCCCCAGAAAAGTGATCTAACAATCGACTAACAACTGGGTTCCTACTTACTGCTAGGTAAACAGAGGTGTGTGGAGTAAGGAAACTTGCCCAACATTTCGTCCTGCTGGGAATCAAACCCAAGTATCTCACTTGCGAGGTGAATACTCTAACCACTGAGCTACATGACTCCAAAAATGTACTTTTTTGTGTATTTTTTAAAAAGTAAGTAATACTTTTAGCAACTCATAGGATCGAATACCAACATCTAACTGCTTCGTATTTAATGCTTCAGCAAATTGATACCAATGTCTGACTGGAGTAATTTGGAGATTGTATAGATTGATTCTGACCACCTAGTTGACAAAGACCCTAGTGGTAGGCTGACAAACTAAGCAGTATATTACAAGATGGCCTCAATGCTCAGTCCCACTCACCATTGTTGTTTCTGCTATTGAACCAAAGCTGTTGATAAATATGTTGCATGTAACATTAACAGGATGACCTGCAATTTAAATGATAAACAAAAGGAAAAACAATTGACAAGCTGCTACCGCATAAGACATCAAGTTATTTGACAGTAGTCGTCAGCACTTACCATTGTGTTCTCCGTGACCGAGCCAAAACTGTTGATAAAAATATTGCATGTAACGTTTACTGGAGAACCTGTGAAATGCAAGGAAAATGTTGCAATACAAATTGGATCATTGAAGGTATTGGAAAAAGGGGATTTCATGATTACATACTTTGATATAAGGATTAAACATAACCACTTATTCCCAACTTGTAGCTTCAAAATATTGTTGCACTTTTCTCACTTCTCCCTATAACCTTTCACAAGAAGATAAGAAAACATGCGACAATTTTGCTGTCGATTGAGTTCGCTGGTGCAGCAGTTGAGTACTGTTATTGGTGTCAGCGCCCATGGGATAGGGTGGGGAAAATCAGGCATGAAGATTCTCTTTACAGATTGCTTTTGAGTGACTCTTGCTGGAAGGTGTGGATGTAATGTGAGGACAGGATTGGACTCGGCTGACATGCCTCCGCACTCAGTTAGCCTGACAGCACTCACTGTCACAACTTACACATGAATCATAGCCACTTGAAGGGGGTTCCAGAAACTACAACCTGCTTAAATCTTCAGTAAATATAGATTTCACATTAAAATAAAATTTCCAGAATTGGAGTTTTTAGAATTATTGGTGCGCAATGAATCCAAACATACAAAACACATAATCTTTTGGTATATATAGCTCTCTGAGACGCTCCCCTGTGTGGAGGGTGCTATATAAGTGCAAATTGTTGCTGCTGTTGTTGTAATACATGAACATAGTTGAAAAGAATACTGGATTATCTCCCCAAATACACATAAACAATGTCAAAATAAAGTAGTGTTTTCTATATTGCCCACCATTGTCTCATTTCTATCACAATAGAAAAGCACTGAAAAAGTGCAAAAGTAAAAGTATACACTAGGACAAAATCATAAAATGATCACTGATAATATCTGACCAGTTTGACTACTTTGCATTTTCTTCTTGGTGAAAAACATATTTTGATATTAAACTTATCCAAACTCATCAATTGAACTTATTCCTGAAAGTGACAATTACACATAGATTATACTGAAATTAATATTTTGCAATTACTCAGTATTGATAATGGGGAACGTTTGAGCTTTTGAGAAGCATTGAATTATCTGTGGTTGAAAAATATGCCTCTCCAAGTGATTTATGATTGGTGGGAAGTGCAGGTGACTACAGACAAAGCTTTTTCCATAAATGTTTGCTTTCTTTCTTTTACTAAATGGCTTTCAGTCTCATTTTTCTATACCGCATTAGAGATTAATTCCATGAACTTTTTTCAAAACCTTACAACTTTATCAAAGTCTTCCTGAAAATCTCAAAAAAGTATCCAGATGCTCCTCCTGAAATAGTTTAGTTACCTCCTCAAAGAATTTCAGCAGATTTCTGATGTATCGTATTGCTTATAAATCTGTACTAATGACTTGTTATAAAAGCCTCTATTAATGCTCACCTGACACCATTCTGTAAAACATTGTCAACTATTACCTCACTACAGACGTTATGCTAACTGGCTTGTAAGCTACAAATTCATGTCTCACTCAATTTTTATATCGGGATATGACTTGTTCTCCATTCCAGTACATGAAGCTTTCAAATATTATAGTAATAAAAATCCTTGCATTTGATTTAGTGCCTTTCATGTCAGGGGGTTGTCCCAAAGTGCTTCACAGGATTTGCTGTAAAGTGTAGTAACTTTTGTAGGTGAATTAAGCAGAGTCTTGCCTATTTCTTGCCCTCATTTATTTAGGCTGACTTTGCAGCGCAGTTCTTCAGATGCGATTTTAAACCAAAGCCTTGTATGGTGGATATTAAAGATCCTATAATATTATTAGAAAAAGGAGTTCCTCCCAGTGTTCTGACCAATAATCCCCAAGATGAATTGCTCATTCAATTTTTGGCCAATTTACACTCAGCAATGTCCTACACACAGATCCTTAAGTGAATGACACTATGGGGTTTGAACTTGCAGAGGACAACATGCTATCAATTGAGTAACCTATAGTTAGATTTGATGAAAGTTTGGAAAAATGGGACTGTTCCCTTAGAACAGAGTAGGTTGAGAGACCTGTTACAGGTTTTAGGGGTTTCAATACAGTAAACAAAGAAATTATTTATACTGCTCACTGAGTCAGTAACTAGCTGGCATAGGTTTAGATAATTACCAAGAGCAAAAGGGCGAGGTTAAAAATATTTTACACAGAAGGTTGTTGGAACATGGAATGTCCTACCTGAAATTATAATTAGTGTAGAATCCATATTAGCTTTTAAAATAGAATTATATAAATATGTGAAAAGGAGAAATTAAAGGCAGGACAATGGGAATAAAACTACTTCTCCTCTTCTAGTTGTGATCCCCAGGTCCATGGATGTTCTAGCCACCTGTTTGTCAGACATCAAGGCCTCAATGAGGACTGACTTACCACAGCTCAATATTGACAAGACAGAAGCCATCTACCTTGGCTGCTGTCAACTTTTCCTCACCTCCAGTTCCGACCTCCTCAATCTCTCCAATTCAACTCTCAAACTCACCAAACCTGAGCACAACCTTAATGTCCAGTTCTATCCTCAGCTGTCCTTCCATTTGTTCCATGAGCAGGACTACTCTCCTCCATCTCTGTAATGTTCACCTCTGAACCTGCCTTGCTCTTAAAGCTGCTAAAAAAAAATGTCTTTGTCATCTACTGCCTCGATTTCTTAAATACAGTCCTTTCTGATCTCCCGAGATAGTTCTTTCAGAGAGTCAGCACCATCACTAGCATGATGGGCCGACTGGCTTCCTTCTATGCTGTAAACCGCTATTGTTGTATAGTAAATCTGAATAGGAATTGTCAGCTTCATTAGGATAGTTCATAAGCATTTCACCATGTATACCTATGGCTTCCAGTTTTATCATGATGACGACATGAGGCCTTGCGGAAATCGATAAACCCATAGGTGGGTTTTCCTGAGCCTTATGACTTTCTACGATCTGCGAAGCTACAACCAGTCCCACACACTCCCCATGAGAACAGAATCCGGCCTGTTCCTTCCTTATCATGTCTCCCTCCAAAATGTTTGATACACATGGAGTGACTACCCAAAGCACAATCTGAAGTGCCCCTGAAATCAGTGAGATTTCTCGGTACTTCTTTGTCTTACTTAGGGCCATCCTTTTTGTAGATAGATTAAACCCAGTGGAGTTACAAATGGAAGGCAGTCAGCTTAGCGATAACTGTATGCTATCAATGCCACAGGCCTGACTAAAGGCCTTACCTCAAAAAAATACAATAAATACCTTCTTATTCATAACTATTCCTGATCATCACTATAGGACAGTATTGTCCAACAGAAATCACTGACTAGCCACAGGTGTGGCTACGGCTACACCATTTTAACCACATAACAATAACAATAATAATAATCCTTGCATTTGATATAGTGCCTTATCACGTCTTTGAGACGTCTAAAGCACTTCACAAAATATAGTTTATAATTCATTGACTGTATATTTTGTGAGCAAAACGCAACAGCCAATTGGGCACAGCAGTGTCACACAAACAGTCGTGGATTGAGTGACCAATTTTTTAAAAAAAGTATTATTACTCCTGACAAAGCGATCCACCAATCGATTAACAAACGGGTTCCTACTTATTGTTAGATAAACAGAGGCGTGTGGATTAAGGAAACTTGTCTAAAGTTTCACCCTGTCCAGGAATCGAACCCAGGTGCTCTCGCTTGCTCTAACTACTAAGCTACAAGAATCCACTGTTGCATTTACCAATAGCAGCAAGATTGCTGAACATAGATGGGCATTGGTAGAGCTGAGCACACAATGTCAGACACTGGCTGCTGCCTCTTAATTCCACATTTTCTCTACATTGTTAAATTCACAGGAAACGTCTCTTCTGTTTAACTCTCATATCATCTCCTCAATGAGAAACTGGTTCCAGGTCCTGCGGTATAAATCCACATAGAGCAGGGCACTGTGCCTATTCCCAGTTTGTGCTGGGTTAGTACATCTCACCTACAATTTGCTTCAGTGCTCACTCCTGGCCTGTAGTCACTGTTGGAATCTGTCTGCACTTTGGGAGACAAACAGACTCTTCACAAGAGAGATTCAAATGAAGGTCCTTCAGCTTATTTAATAACAATAATCCTTGCATTTGATATGGCACCCCATCACTTCTTCGAGACATTTCAAAGCCCCTCATAGAATACACTGCAAAGTGAAACAATTGCATATTTACATGCACCAATTTTAGTAGAAAACACCTTACTCACACAATAACAATAAAAACAAATTACATGCGCTTTTCACATCAGGAGGACATCCCAAAGCGCTGGAGGTAAATGTACTTCCCAAACCAAATAGAGGTAAATGTATATCTACAGGTATGTTTTCATGTATATTTACTCCACAAACATCGACTTAACAAACATTTATCACCATTCAATGTAAGACACTGCAGTCTTCTCTTTACTTTTCTTTTGCACGACTCACCAGAACAGCCCCTGCTCTTCATCCAGAACGTGGTTGGATGCTGTTTGCCTTTTGCTATGATGTGCCCTGTTGGAGCTGCTAGTATTGGCTGGGCTGGCTTTCTTCTGCTGGCCTACAGCAGTTATTCCAATTGGTCGAGCTGGCCACGATTGACAGCTCCCCTTCTCCATACAATATTGCTGGTGTTTGCATGGTGCTGAAATCCAGCATTTTCACACATTACACACCAATTTAGCACAGAACCAATAAGCAATAACCAAGGAAGTAAAGCACACACAGTGATCTAAAAACATCAACGAACGTTGTTTTTCATCTTACCAACAAATGCACAGAAAGGTGAAAGTATAGACGTACACCTCATGTCTTTGAGATCACGAGCCCAATGATGGTAAATATTACTCATTTTGTATTGGCTAATCAAAAATCCAATTTTGCTGCATCTGAGTCTCCAATTCACCAAAAGTGGCTAGTGGCTAACAAATTGAACAATCCTGTTCTAAGATGTATCTCGTTTTGTGGCACAACAGAGGTTTTTTTTATGTTTTTCTAGGTTAAAGCATCTCAAACCATGAAAACATACCTGAATTTATTATACAAAT